AAAGCGTTTTGGAAAAGATCCAGAACTTGCGTGTCAAGCTTCCATTTTTTTCCCATGATGTACTGTACATCATGCCATCTCAAAATAAGTCAGTTTTTTTACATTGTTATACAGTGTTTTAATATGAAAGATTTGAAATCCTCTGCTCTTCCTTTTCTTATTTTAACTGTATCATAAATTCCTGGCCTGTGTTTGTCTTTTGCCATATATGGTTATGTTATGGTCCCTCATACTCCCCCTCTCTATTTTCTGAAATATGTAACTAAAAGAAAATAAGAAATGCCTTCATTTAAAAATAATAATAATAATAATGCACAGATTAATTACCAGTGTCAGAAAACATATGGTTGCCTTCCAGCTAATTTTGCACCCAAGAGTTAAAATTGTGTGCTTTATTTCCTGCATGCTGGTAATGTGTGTGAGTTCACATTCATTTTCATTAAAGGCAGAGTAAGTGATTTCTGGTAGCCAGTGTTGATATTTGAAATCACCAAAACAAACACGCCCCTACCCCAAAAGGTTCTTGCCCCTATTTTGATAGCTCCGCCCCACATATATACGTACGCAACCCAGGCAACGATTGGTTCTGTGAAACAAAGCAAAACCAATGTTACACCGTGTCTACGGACGTGAGCGGCTCGGCGCAACAAATCCCCGACAGAAAGCTGCTGCCGGGTTCTATTTATGACGTGCTGACAATGTTGTTTGATCGCGTCCAGTGTAGGCAGACTTTAGCTGTTGTAGACACGGTGTTACTCGCCTATTGAGAAGAAACAAAGCAACCTCGGTGTCCGATCGCAGGCCTCCGCTCCTTGTGTTCTCTCCAGCGCTGGAAAGCTGATCCGATATTTACACGGGTCCTACTTCTTGCCTTATCGTTCCGCAGATGTTTTCCTCTTTTGTTTTTTATCCACCATCTCTATCTTTCTGTCGCTCGGCTAATGTCCGTCCCATGCACTGAAAGCTCTCTCCTCCACATCACGAGTAGACACGCCCCTTATTGCTGATTGGCTACAAGTTTGTTTTGCTATTCGGCCCGAATCAGTTTTTAAAAGTGTTTTTGAAAAATCACATACCCTGCCTTTAAGTTAAACTAAATGAAAATTAGAAATGGTGCCTTGGCAACTATCTTAAATTAAGTATGATTCAGTGTTTTTTTTTTTTGTATATGTTTTTTCAGTTAACTTTTAATCAGTAATTTGTACCTGTGTGCTACTGCCTTGAGTCTAATTTAGTCTTATTTTATTTCATAAATTTTATAGCTCTGTTTTAAACCAACTACAGCCAAGTGCACATGCTAACACGTCAGAATACCTTCACTGTATAATAAAAGCGCTTTCATTTTTCTTTTATTATAGCTGGACACCAGATCTCGATTCCGAGGCCGAAAGGGATACTGAATAACACCTTCAACGTGAATAACATGTTTTGTATCAAAATGCCAAGACATGCTCTCAAATGTGTAAATATAATGCTTTTTAAGCAAACTTGTCTAGTGAAAAATAGTTGACTCATCAACAAAATAAATCATAAAATAAAACCGATTTCCAGTTCTGAATGTTCACTCATAAAATCACTGGATCCACAAAAGATAACAATATTCAAAACATTAGTAGTTTTTTTTTTTTAATCAAAATGTAATTTATCTCATTCAACAGCTGACTGTTATTTCTGTGTGAATGGTTTTATGATTTTGTAAAAAAGTGAAATCTGATGAAGTAGCCAGTAGCAAAAAAAAAATTTCCACAAAGATGTTTATAAAAAATATCGTAAGATAATTCCAGACATGGATACTAATGATCATTTATTTCAAAGCATTCATCATGAGCACTTTAAACCTCTCCAAGTCCACCTTCTTCAAGATGTGGGCTTCGTGAGTCTTCTTCAGGATATCGAGGTGATCTACAACCATCATTCCCCGGCAGCAGTTCCCCGCCAGCTCTACAGTGACGGCTTTGTGTTCAGTTTCAATGATATATGTCTCGTCTATGGCTGCTGCCATGGCATAAGAATCACAGGAGACGAATCCCTGCCCATCCACCAGCTCCTTCTCAATCCTCTCGCTGTAGGTGCACTCCATGCTATTCTTAAAGATCTGCTTCATAAACCGAGCTTTATCTGTGTCCTGAGCCAGCCAACCATCACAGAACTCCTGAAACAGACGTGTGCAGATATTGTATAATATAACATCGATATGGCTGCATATTCAGGAATGTATAAACCACCAACAGTTGTATTTACATAATACATAATCATCTCTATACATTCTAATAATGTTTAAGAAATGCAAATCTCACCCAGGGTATTTTACTGCGACACGTGAACTCCCAGGTTGCAATGTAAACTGGGCAAATAAATTCATTCAGAACAATATATGCTGCTTCAGGATCAGCTGCAAAGTTGTACTCTCCACACACAGTGGTGTTCCCACGCGCTAAAGATGAACAGATGTTATTCTCTAACCTGGTCTAAATGCATTAAACATAATAAATAGGCAATACAGATCAGACTGATTTGCACTTAGCGTACAAATGATTCTGGTTTAGGGCTGGGCAATATTGCATTGCATTGCATTAAATAATAATAATAAAAAAACAATTGTCCTTCTGAAGATATAAAGTTCTGGTCAAAAGTTTGGAATAATTCAGATTTTTTTTTTTTAAATGTTTTTGAACGAACTCTCTCATGCTGATCAAGGCTGCATTTATTTGCTCATAAGTACAATAAAAACTAATATTGTGAAATATAAAAATTTCTATTTTAATATATTTTGTGTAAATGTCATTTGTAATTAAATGTAATTTTGTTATTAATGTAATTATTATCAATGCTGAAATAGTTGTGCTGTTTAATATTTTTGCATAAACCATTTAAAAACCATTCAAAAGTTTGAGGTAAGAATAATTTAAAAAATAGAAGTGCATACTTTAATTCAGCAAGGGTGCATTAAATTGATCAAACTTAGCAGTAAAAACCTTTAGAATATTACAAAAATCTATCAGGGTTTCCACAAAAAATATTAAGCAACAGTTTCTTGTGTTGCTTTTTCAAGATTAATAATAAGATAAGGTTTTTTCAGCATATCAGAATGATTTCTGAAGGATCATGTGACACTGAAGACTGGAGCAACAATGCTGAAAATTCAGTTTTGTCATCGCAGGAATAAAATACATTTTAAAATATGTTGCAAACAA